CCCTTTTTACACAGAACCAGAACACAGCCCAAACCAAGTTTTCTCACTCTTACCCTTTAGATTCTCTCCCCCATCCCACTGATGGGGAGTGAACGAGCAATGGTGCAGTGCTTACTCGCCAGCTGGTGTTAAACCACCATAAAGAGAAACTCCACAGGTCTCTGGACTCTGTTCCCGTGTTGGGCTGTCCCTGTAATGACTGCGTTTAATTTATTCTTTGTGTCAAGTTAGTCAAACATCACACAAGTCAGTGCAAGACATTGTAGCAGAGGAAGATGACCTTCACATCTTTTAGATTTTGCAAGCTGATTTCAAAGAGGAACACTAGACAGACCATGGGGTCTAGCAAGTGATTTCTCAGACCCGAAGGTAGTTGTCTCTTCATCAGTTGTGTCACTCACTGGACCTCATTGACTATGGACCACGCTTTGACTATTCCCTTTACCCTTACATTAGTCAGGCACAGCTTGAAGTAGCTACTTGCACTAAACTATTTAGGGGCACTGAAGATGCTCTAGAGTAAAAAGATGTCATGGTGGGGCATGACATCACAGGAATGACTCAGGAGACCTTTCCCCTTCTTGAGGAGCATGAAGACCAGGCTGGACACCTGGTTTTGTTTGAGCAAAGATGTTATATCTTTGTTCAGGCAACCACATACCCCCAGGGTTTTTTTTTTTTTGGTACTGCTTGGGAGTATTTTACATGCTCTCTAGTTTCACTTTATCGATAGGAGTCTGTTCAAGGCAATTCTCACTTCCTTATTCCTCAGGCTGTAGATGACAGGGTTAAACATGGGGGTCACAATTGTGTAGAAGAGGGCCAGGTATTTGTCAGTGTCCGCAGAGTCCCTTGACCATCGCTTTAAGTAGATGACTGTGGCCGAGCCATAGAAGAGTGACACTACCCCAAGGTGTGAAGAGCAGGTGGAAAAGGCTTTGCGTCTGTCCAGAGCTGATGGCATTTTCAGAATCACCCTGATAATTTTACCGTAAGAAATTACTATCAAGAAAAAAGGCAGCATTACAAATACCAGGATGATGGTGTAGAGCATCACTTCGTTCCAGAAAGTGTCTGCACAGGCCAGTTCCAGCAGAGGGGGGACATCACAGAAGAAGTGATGAAGGTCATGGGATGCACAGAAGGGCAAAGTGAACACCTGGTAGGTCTGTCCTGCTTGCACTGGTGTGACAACCAGCCACGATCCCAGCACCAATCTGATGCAGAGACCCCTGCTCATGATGAGGCTGTAGTGCAGGGGGTCACAGATGGCTGTGTAGCGGTCATAGGCCATGGCAACCAGGAGAAGGCACACGATGCTACCCAACGAAACCAGGAAATACATCTGGGCAGCACAGCCAAGGAAGGAGATCCTGCCATCTTCTGTTAGGAACCCCAGCAGCATTTTTGGCAGAGTCACTGACGTGTAGCAGATCTCCAGGAAGGACAAGTTCCTCAGGAAGAAATACATGGGGCTGTGAAGGCTTGAGTCCATTGCTGTGATGAGTGCAATCAGGCTGTTGCTGGTGAGGATCACGAGGTAGATGGCCAGGAATACTGTGAAGCACAAGAAGCCCTGCAGGCTGGAGTGGTCAGTAAATCCCAGAAGAGTGAATCCAGATCCAGCAGTGTAGTTCTCCAAGCCTTTTCTTTGAGGCAATATCCCTACAGAGAACAATCCAAACAACAGACTCAGAGGATGCTGATCGCCCACCATCACACATGCTTCAAGCCTAGAGAAAGACTACAAACATCAGCCTACACAGGACTGCAGGATTAGATGAACGTGACCAAAATCTGCATGCTTGTTTGGAGATCCAACATGGGTCGCTTGCTGTGGGGAGGTTTGTAAAGAGAGGGAAGGATGGAATCCTTGAGCCTGAACAAGCAAGTTTTGTCATATGGATAGAAGAAACTTGACTTTCTTTTGAAGAGGTGATTTGATTGAATACAATACCTGTTGACAGATGGAAGAAAAGGGATGAATCCAAGCCCCTTTAAGGACAGTCTTGCTTACATTGCTTGTCCAGACCTTGCAAGAGCTACATTTAATGTAAGAGCATTAAGAAGAAGTTGGATGAAAAGGAGGAAGGGGGTGAAAAAGGGGCAGAACAAGCCCCTAAAGTATCAAGGCTTGATACTTTAACCAATGAGAGAAGGCAAGGCTTGATACTTTAACCAATGAGAGAGGTTAGTCCCAGCTCTCCTCACATGTAAGAGCACATCCCCTGATGCTGTGCCCACATACAAAGACCTGGGAGACGATATTAGATGTAAAACAGGAATTTTGACATGCTGAAGGGTGAATTCCATCAGAAGTAACATGGGCTTCTATCTGCCAGTGAGTCCAGCCATGGGACATCTTTAGAAGACAGATAAGGAGCAGTTGATGCATAACTCTCAAGTTTTCAGGGTGCTACAAGACAATTTATGGAAGCAATTAAACTGCCTCATGCCGTTTTCAGTCACAGAGAGAAGAAAGTGATTAAAAGTGGGTGATCTTGCCATGATACCCCATTTTCCTGAACAGGTCTGGCTTTTCTAACTTCTGAATGAGTCCCAAATGATTCAGCACTCCTAAACCGGCTGCCCTGCAGCTTGGGTCTCTGACAGCTTACAGATCAGGTGGAGGACCCCTTCACTCTGATCCCAGCCCTGCAATGCTTCCCAGTCCCCTGCAACCCCTCTCAGAAGCAGAGCTATGCTCTTTCTGTCTGGGGAATGGCACTTTGCCTTTGCATTTCCTACCTTTCCAGAGCACAAAACTTCTTGCTGGATATGCTTGAAGGATGTGAGCTACCAGCAAGCAGCACGAAAATAGCAGCTTGCTTCTTGTGAAGAAGAAACACAGCTGAAAGATGATTAAGAATCTCAGTTTAAAATAACGTCCTCTTTGAGGCAGAGGACTGAGGATGCTGGCTGTGTCTCCCCAACTCTCCCTAACCCCCTTGGAGGAGTCTTCTTAAACTCTGGTGTATTAATGATGAGAAGAGCAGGTCAGAAAACATATGATAAAAGCCGAGGGGAAAACGCAGGGTGGTTTTCTCAAAAGAAAAAAAAAATCTGAATTCACAAAACCCTGTGGTTCTATTAGTTTGATTCTTTTTCCAAGGCATCCCTGCTTTGTTCCTGTGAGTTCTATCTCTCTTGAGGGAAAACTCACCAGGATTGTTCTCTAGTCTACCTACTTATTCATTTAAATGTACAGAAAGAAAAAAAAAAAAAGAGTAATAGTTGTATTTAAAACAAACAAACCACCCTGTGAAATACCCATGTTGATTTTAAATTAATGCTTTAACGCACAGCAATCATTTACATGCAGATTAATACCACATACCAGCACTTCCTGCTTGTTTCAAAATGCCCTCAAACATGCATCCTCTCCTTTTGGACTCTTGGATGTCTCAGCCAGCTTTGTTCATTGGAACTGCCAGGGTTGTTCTCACCTGGGGACCATCCCACGGGCAGCATTCCTCACAGCTGAAGGAAGCCTGTTCTAGTGAGCCCAGCCCAGCTGGACAGATGCCTGCAGCTGCTCCTGGCGGTGTCTGTGCTGCCACACAATCTCACAGCTTCAGGGCATGCCAAAAAGGATGAGTGTTGTCAGGAGCCAAGAGAACACGCTCCTCAGACCATGGTGCAGGGGAGGCAGTGGCAACCTCTTTTTGTCTCCATCAGTCCCCTGGAAACCACTCGGATGTGGGTCTCTGGGCACGTCTCTGTCTCTCTCATGTGGTTGTAAGACACTTAGCAAGCAAGCAGCCTCAGGGGTGAAGGTGAGGACGCCCGTGCTGCAGCTGCTCCTCCCCAGGCACCCATGGCACCAGGAACACTTTTAGAAAGCTTATGAAGCCCAGCTGAGGGAACTGGAGTTGTTTAGTCTGGAGAAGAGGAGACCTTATTGCTCTCTACAGCTACCTAAAGGGAGTTGTGAGCTGGGTGTTGGTCTCTTCTCCCAAATTACTGATGAAAGGATGAGAGGAAATGGCCTCAAGTTGCACCAGGGGAGGTTTCAACTGGTTATTAGGAAGAATGTTTTCACTGCGAGTGGTTAGACACTGGAAGGGGCTTCCCAGGGAGGTGGTGGAGTCATCCTTGCTGGAGGTGTTCGAAAAGCGAGTAGATGTAGCATTGAGTGTTTAGTGGTCTAGTGGTTAGGGGGACATTGGGAGGAAGGTTGGACTTGATGATCCTAGAGGACCTTCCCAACCACAGTGATTCTATAATTCTGTGATTCTCTGATTGCTGGTATACAGCCAAATAATTAAATATTAATTTACTAACCAGTTAATTTACCACATTGATCTATTCAGATACCAAATCAAGACCCAAACCCCTTCCTGGGACTTTTCTGCTGTGCGTACATCTTACAAGCAAATGTACCAAAATCCAAAGTTTACCAAAATCCAAAGTTTCCAAAGCCAAAATATCCAAACCTAAAGTAAACCAGAAAGTTGCTAGCAACCTGGCATACACAGCATGTAAATGCTTTTGCTTTCTGACTTATGGATAGCCCTAAGTGGACTGGTCCCCCAGAATTCCAAACTAAAGGATACCTTTTTCAGATAGTCCTTGTCTGTTCCCTCAGTGATCTGACTGAGGTGAGGAGTCCCTCGGGAGAATCTCAGGGGGTGCCCAATGGAGCCTCATCCTCAATGTGTCCTGCAGCTGAGCAGAGAGGGTCCCATCTGGGCCACTAGCAGAAATGAAGAAATCAGACTCAACAGCCAGGGTTCTTTCTGTTGAGCAGGTATTCTTTGTTTGCAGTGCTGGGGCACCACTGGCAATTTTCCACTATAAGTGCTCCCCCCTCCTGATCATTGCAAAGCAGTTTATATTTCATTTTTCCCAAGACAGTTAACATAAACTTGCCCATAAACACACCTATCTTGAAATCCTAGTGCACAAGTCCAGGCCTCTCTAAGGACTGAGGGCCTATGGCTATAGTCCGACACGCCGCAGCCCCTTGCTGCCATCTTGTGTCCTTTTGTCACTATCACAGTCCTCGCGGGGGGCCTTTACTTCCTCTGGTGATCATTCCATAGTCTTCCTCACACTATCTGCTAGCTGAGCTTTGGGCTTCCTTTGTCCATATATGGTCATAGAATTAGCTCATCCATCCTTGGCCCTGGAATTCTACAAGATGGTCGGTTTAGACCAATTCTTTGGAGCTTGATCCAGGCAGCCTGAGTTTCTGCTGTCAGTGATCTACTCAGGAAGCTTCAACAGTTATCTCAAGGCCTGTTTAATCTCATCAGGCCAGAAGTTACATGTGAGACATCTCTCTATCAAATCTTCTCAGTAAATAGCTAAGACTATACAAAGAGAGGGAAAGAAGAAGAAGAAAATACAAGCTTTAATGTATCACAGTAAGGTCTTAGAGATTGTCATGGAGTCAGCCCTTTCGTCTCCATGGAGCTGAACTCCATCCCTTTAGAGCACAGAGGGTAAGCCCAGCAAAAGGTGGGAACGTGGCAAATGATGGAAATGTTGCATTGGGTGAGAACAACAAGGTGTCATTTGTGAAACACACCGGAAGCTCAAGACATCTGTTTAGACACATAATAAGTTTGCTGCTTGGAAATCCATCAAACCAAGGTTCCTGAAACTGTTGTTGTAGATATTGGGAAAGGGTGTGTCTTCAGGCGAGCATTACGTGTATCCATATTAAGAGATGATCAACTTTACAGCAGCATCAACAAGTGCAATTTATGTATCTGTAATTTCTCCATGATTACGGGTCGTGATTTTAATTTCTCTGCCATGGTAACTACACGCGATCATTTGTCTTTCGATTACGTGTTGCATTATGAGCTACAGCTACACCGACTAGCATGAATTAAACTATAATCCAACAACTCCACCCACCACCCTGATGTAATCAGCCTTCTATACCTACCACTAAAAACAGGATATAAGGCTCCGATCACAGTCCATCCTGACATGGAGGAAAATATTGTGTGCTAAAAAGAGGCAAGAGGGATGGAGAGCCCTGATAGCGGGAAGTCTTGTTGGGATGGTCAGCAGCAGCAGCTGGGACACTGAACCTGATACTGCACCCCATGAGGACTTGACAGACTGTTACTTTACTGGGCTTGCTGTTAAACCTTGGCTTATTTATGAGAGTTTGGAGGATGGCTCAGCAAGTTACACTCCTGCAAATATTTCACCCCTTTGATATTTTCCTGTGTGCTTAATACCACTGAACCTCATTTCATAAGATTTTTGAGGCTCACTAAACACAAAATGCCCTTCACATTTGAATTAGATTGTGGCGTTCTCTGTTGGTAGGCACAGAGGCAAGAGGCAAGCACAGAGCCACTCTGTGGAGGAGATAAATGGATGGTAATCATGGGGCAGATTGCAGTGGTCTGGTCCCCCTGCCACTTGTGGCCTGATGCAATCCCCCCCTTCCTGGGCCACAGCCCAGCCAGGGGTCATCCAGGCATGGCTGGAGAAAGACAGGGGAGCAGAACACTCCAGCACCTCCTTGGTGGGCTGGGCCCCATCTTTCCCGAGCCCAGCGCTGCTCTCCCTGTCCCCTGGGCATCAGTCACCTCCTGGCAGCCCAGCACATCTCTCCCTGGGGCATGGCCAATAGAGGGACAACACCAAACTGCCAAAGTCAGCAACTTGTGGGTCTGCCCAATGGGCAGAAAACACCAGAAAGTTTCAACCTCTGAGGTGGGCTGGAGGGGAAAAGTGCCTGACAAAAGTCAATTATCCAGGACCCTATAAAGAGTGGTCCCAAAGCGAGACCCTTGGAGCTCTCCTGGATCGCAGTGGGCTGTGTCCAGCATCTCCCGAGGGAGACGTCTGTCAGGGACAGGCTGCACCAGGGACCAGGACGGACTCGGACTCCTCGAGACTTGATCATCGTCCATTGGGATGCTGAAGCATGGTGAGGAGTTGCTCTGAACTGCAGAAGGAATTTTCACTCCAGCCCACCGACCTCTCTCCCACCCACCTCTCGGCCTGTCCATGGCTTTGAACAGACACATTCCTTTCCAAGTGGGGGTGTTGATTGATTCCATGGATCCCCATCACTCGCTCTGTCTGTGGGTCTGGGTGGTCAGGTGTCTCCATGCAGATACAGACACAGGTATTTTCATTTCAGACACCTTGCAGTAAGTTGGTGGGAAACTTGTCATGATGGCATCTGTCGTTATGTCACTGGTTTGATTAGAACACACTCTCCTGAATCCCTTTGTTCATTTCTAATTGTTTAATGACAAAGTGCTACTGAAATCCAACATTTTCATCTCTGTCTCACCATCAATCAATCTTAAATTGCTGCTTTAATGAAAACCATGTCATAACCTGCTGTTTATACCACAGGCTTAATTTCTCTAGTCCTTCATGAATTTTCCTCTCTTTGGGACACAATAACCATCTCTAAAGTCATCTTTTCATATGGAGACTGTCCAGGCAAAGGCCCTTTCCATTATTCTCCAGTGTTCTCCTCCCTTTATTTATTGTTCTTTCAGATTCCTCTCACCTCTGCAGCTGTTTTGAGCTTCAGGGAGTAAAAGCCAACGTGTCTTTCAACAGTTTCATTGTCTCTTCCGTGCCTGCTTGCAGCCAGTTCTCCTAGGAGAGGAGGTGGGATCTGGTGCAGTGGAGCTGTAATCGCCAGCTGCAGAGAGCAGTGGAGAAGTCTGAGTCAAGCACCAGTGCTGGAAGTCCCAGGTGGCCAAGGGCAGAAATGGGAATGTCGGGGAAGTGAGGAACAAAGTTGTTCAGACAGTGCCAGACTTCAAGGGACAGATCCTACCAGTCCAGACCTCCTGAGGATACCCCCTGGATCAATAGCACTTGGAGAATTACTCCATCTGCTCTTCTCTAAACACAAAAGTCATAAAGTATTCATTTACAAATAAATAAATAATCTACAGCTGCACTTTGAAAACTTCCTCCTTAACTGCACTCTGAAACAACTCCAATTAGCTAAACAGGCCATGGAGACTTGAAGAAAATTAAAAACAAAACAAAACAAAACCAAAAACCAAACAGCTTGTTAGGGCACTTGGGGCTCATTACATGAACCTCAGATACTGAGAGAAGGATGAAGAAACTTCTCAAGAAGTTAAAGCCAGGAGCAAAACCAAAGCACCTTGAAGCCCTGATTGGCCCCACTGAGCACAATTCCTGACACAGCCTCCCCAAGGCCAGCTAGAGCAGAGAGCTGGAGGCCAGGACTGCAGGCAGGCCAAGGCCCTGGGCAGGTGCTGGAATGCTGAGAAAACCCTCGGTGGGCTTGAGGAAGCCCCAAGGCCAAGCCCTGACCCCAGCCCCTGGCACAGCAGATCCTGTCCCTCCCACCTGGCTCAGGGCTCTTCCTGGGGGCATGGGATTGTGGGCTGAGCAATGACAAGGTTGGAACTATTCAATGACAACTCCCAGCCTCCCCAAGCAGGGCTGAGGATAAAACAAAATCCAGAGCCTCTAATGTTTTTAAAATAATTTTTATCAGATGCTTTGTGTGACCTTCCTCCACTGTGAAACTTCTTCAATGAGCTGGACAAGTCTGGAAAACATGACAACAAATTTACAGGATAAGATAAGGCTCATCGCTATTTTAATGAGCCCCACGGAGTATTTGGGGCTGAGTCCATGGACCTCAGGTACTGCCAGGAGATTGAACAAGCTTCTCAGGAAGATCAAGTCAGGAACAAAATTCAAAGTTTCTTGAAGCATTAATGGGTCCCACGGAGGGTTGTTACTGACAAAGCTTCCCCAGGGACTCATTAGAGCAGAGAACTGGAAGCTGTGACTCCAGGTAGACAAAGGCAAAATGCAGGTGAGAAAACCCTGGCTTTGTTGGAAGAAGCAGAAAGGCCAAGCCCTGACCACAGCTCTTGGGCAAGTAAAGGCTGAAAGCTTCATAAGAAAGGTTCTCCTCCTAGGCCTTGATGGGAGAGGCAACTGCCAGAGCCAAGAAGACAAAGCCCTTGGTCCCTTTGGACCTTTCAGCTTGGCTAGAGCCCTAGTTTCTCCTGCAGGCTGTCCTACACTGTCCCATGCCTGTACCTCTTGACCATCAGGCTGTTGACACCCTTCTTTCTTTCCCACCCAGCTCTCACCCTGGAATTTCTAAACCTTTACTAAACACTAAACCACCCATTGCTGCCTCTTCCTTGGAACACAGAGCCACGGGCTGATCCAGACTCCCTCTGGGTGACTGCTTGCACCACAGCACTGCTCTTTGAGTGACACTTCCTCACGTCCAGTCTGAACCTCCCAAGCTGCACTTCGTGGATGTTTCCTTCTCCCCCCACTGCCAAGAAAAGCTCTCTGAAACCACTCTTCAAGCAGTTGTAAGCTACTACTCTAGTGCCACTTGACCAGGTTGAAGAATGTCCCGCAGCCTAGGTCCCAGCCTGGCCTCATCTTGGGGCACATTCTGCCCCCCAGATGCAGCACTGGCAGCTTTGCCTGCTCAGACTTCATGAGGTTTCTGTTGCCAGATCCCAGAGTTTCCCAAGGTCCCCAAAGAGTGGATCTCCATGGGCCTAGCTTTTCAAAGCTAGAGTGTTTTCCATAGCATAGAGTGTGTCCCTAGCCACTCTGCAGAGTGGCCACATTGTGATCGTAGGTTTACAGGCCCCACCCCTGGGGACATTCAAGATCAGGCTGGATGAGGGCCTGAGCAGCTTGATCTAGTTGGAGATGTGCCTGCTTATGGCAGGTGTGTTGGACTAGATGACCTTGGGAGGTTCCTTCTAGCCCAGACATTCTGATTCTATATTAAACAAGACCAGTCCCAAAACCGAGCCCTGAGGGACACTGTTCATGACTGGTCCCAAAGGGATTTAACTCCATTCCCCACAACGCTCTGGGCTCGCCCATCCAGCCAGTTTTTAACCCAGCCAAGAGTCCACCTGTCTAGGCCATGAGGGGCCAGCTTCTCCAGCAGGATGCTGTGGGAGGAGGTGTCAAAGGCCTTCCTGAAGTCCAGGCAGACAACATCCACCGCTTTTCCTCATCCACTAGACGGGTCACCTGGTCATGGAAGGAGATCAGGTTGGTTATCAGAGAGACAGGGCATGGTGGGTGCCTCTGCTGGAGCGGCTGCAGGGCTGTGCAGGTGGGTGTGCAGGCAGGGGTGGGCAGGGCTGTGCTGGCCAGCAGGGTCCCTGCAGCCCCAGGGCTGGGGTCTGGGGCAGGGAGCTCCCTGGAGTGCACACCCACATGTTCTTCTTCCTCCTCAACCTCGCTCTCCTTGACCTGGGCTCCATCTCCACTACTGTCCCCAAAGCCATGGCCAATTCCCTGTGGGGCACCACGGACATCTCTTACATAGGATGTGCTGCACAGATCTTTCTGCTTTTTTTCCTCCTTGGAGCAGAACTTTCTCTCCTCACCATCATGTCCTATAACCGCTACATGGCCATCTGCAAGCCCCTTCACTACGGGACCCTCCTGGGCAGCAGAGCTTGTGTCCACATGGCAGCAGCTGCCTGGGCCAGTGGGTTCCTCACTGCCCTGCTGCACAAAGCCAATACATTTTCCTTGCCCCTCTGCCAGGGCAATGCCCTGGACCAGTTCTTCTGTGAAGTCCCCCAGATCCTCAAGCTCTCCTGCTCACACTCCTACCTCAGGGAACTTGGGCTTCTGGTTGTTAGTGGCTGTTTATCATTTGGTTGTTTTGTTTTCATTGCGTTGTCCTACGTGGAGATCTTCAGGGCGGTGCTGAGGATGCCCTCGGAGCAGGGACGGCACAAAGCCTTTTCCACCTGCCTCCCTCACCTGGCCGTGGTCTCCCTCTTTGTCAGCACTGGCATCTTTGCCCACCTTAAGCCCCTCTCAATCTCCTCCCCGTTGCTGGACCTGGTGGTGTCAGTTCTGTACTCGGTGGTGCCTCCAGCAGTGAACCCCCTCATCTACAGCCTGAGGAACCAGGAGCTCAAGGATGGCCTGAGAAAAATGATCACTGGATGCTTTCCATAAGCCATAAACTGTCCATCTTCTTCTGCAGAGCAACTCTAATGTCACTCATTGCTGGCCCAGACTGTCTTTGGCAATTTTGGCTGCTGCTGGTGGTATTACGCTTGTGAGAATATTGTTCTCCAAGAAATGTCTCTTTTCACACCATTTCCACTTCAGCATTTCCCTGACTGTTGTGACCCAGAGACTGTAAAAATAAAGGGTCATGTTGCCTGTGTGCTTCAACAAAATAAAGGACTGTGCAGTGACTTGCCTGAGGTCCTTCCTGGGAGCTGCAGGGGCTGTGCCTGTGTGCAGAGGTGCAGGGGCAAAGAGCCCCAGCACAGACGCCCTGCCAGGGAGAACCAGTGCTTGCACCTCCCTC